GGGAGAGGCGAGTCGCGATTTCACAGAAAAGAGGCGGGGGAATGGGATTTTTTCAGCTTAAAACCGTAATTACCTTATATATATAAGGTTGGGTTCAAGTGAGAATGATGCTTAGTGAAAGAAATAAGAATGCATCTTAGTCATACGATCTAAACATCCAACAACAAAAAGCAATCCAAAATTTTACACTTATTACGGGCTTACTAGGGGCATATTGGACATTTTCCCTATCCCAGCCCAATAACCCACCTATCCCACATACCTATGGGTCCCACCACCACCAACACATTTACCAGCTTTCTCTTCCATTCTTATACACTCCATCGTCCATTCCCGATCAATGAAAATTTCTCCCCAACAGTCGCTAAACCCGCCGCCGCCACCGCTAAACCCGTCGATGCCTCCTCTTTGAACTCGCCGATGCCGCTGAACCTCCGTTGCCATCCCCCGTGTTTTTGAGATTTCCGCCGCCGCCCGAGTTTCTGAAATTTCCGTTGCTGCTTCCCGTATTTCTCATTCGCTGCGCCAATCCCGCCGTCTCCGTCATCATCTCGGCCCACTCGAGCAGAGGCGGTGCCGCGTGGTGGAGCCTCACCAGGAGCTCGATGACCTTCGCATCGTATCACATGGTGGCGTGACCCACTCCTCACTGGCGCCACTCATGGCCGCCGTCCAAATCCCGTCGCTGCTACCGTCATCTTCCTCCTCAACCGCCCCGACCAAATTCGACTCTGCACACTCCCGTTGTCGCCGCCTTCCAAATCCCGCTCAATGAAGTCCGACAAGGCGGCTATCTCCGTCCTCCCCGCCGCCATCTCCACCCGTCCCGACGCAATCGTTGTCCACATAGGCCGAATAATGGAACCAAGCAACACATGAATTAGGATTAGGAAACTGTTAGGGATATGACTATTTTTTTGTAAATTAGATAGATTCAAGGGACTTATATGCAAATTAAATTTTTTAACTATATTACAATTTAGTTCATGGGTTAAATTTATAAACTAATAAAAAGAGATAGTTGCACTTTAATGTTCAGTGCATTGTACCTTATCGCGTTCGGAATTACACGTTAAAAATATTACTACCTCCTTTTTTTTAATGTCATTTTAGCTTTATCAACAATTAACCAAATAAATGATATTTTAGATCTTTTGTACATATTTTTCCTATATTACCCTAATATAGTTAATAAATACACTACGTCGTTTCATATTCACTCTTCATCTCTTCTCAAAACATTCATCTCTATCCTCAATAATGAAGGTTATTATTGGCGAAAAACAATTCTTAAGTATTGTGCAACTTCTCAAAATGACACTTATTAAAAAAAGGAGGGAGTACTATACAGACTACACCATATTGTTATACAAAATGTATTTTAGTGCATGTATATTGCACTTCGCAACAGTGCATTTTGCGCAATGACCAAAATACCCCTGCGTGAAAAATTAAAAGTTCACTTATTTACATAGATGCCACCGCGTGTCTGACTAAAGTTGGACCCTTTGATCATGTCTAGAACGTTGATGTGTAACATCCAAGGGCTATGGTTCATTTTTATTTCTTTCACTATCCCTCTTTCTCTTGTGATCACTTCTCTCTCTCTCTCTCTCTCTCTCTCTCTCTCTCTCTCTCTCTTTATATATATATATAGGGTTGGGTTCACATGAAAATGATTCTCAATGAAAGAAATAGGAATAAATTGTAGCCATTAGATTGGAAGATCTAATGGCTAAAAAAACAAAATTATACCTTCATTAAGGATATTTTAGACATTTTCATTGCACCAACCAAAACCACCACAACTCCCAGCCTGTTGACCTTGCGGACCCCACACATCAACTTCCATCCATTACCAACTCTGTCAACATTTATCGCACCACTCTGTAAAAACATTAATCACGCAAACAGAAAATAGAAACACACACTTCAACATACACACTCTGCCGTCGTACTCAGATCCGCCGCCGCCTTCTTCCGCAGCCGTCGTCTACCTGCCAGTCGTCGTCGATTTCTTCCACTTCGCCAGACACTCTCGTTTTTGTCCCTAACCCTCGTCAAGAGTCCTCCTATTCAGGGTCTGTCGCCGATTTTCAGAGGTGGAGACGACACCTCTTCCACCATGCCACCACGCGTCGCCGGTTTCGCCCCTCTGTGATGGTTCGCCTCAATTTCACCGGCAAATGAGGCAACAAGGGCGGCGTTTCGATTTCAACCACCACATGTCGCTCGGGTCGTCGTTCACCACCACCTGGCGTTTCGGTTTCAACCACCACCGCTGCTCATAGACATTGAACACCTCCGGCGGAGCCGTGAACTCGCAGCGATTCCGGCGGCTGGTGCCCTCCAACACCGCCGTGGTCGAGCAGACTTAAAAAAAAAATAAAGCGAAATCGACAAGGAGTGCTCACTGAGAGAGTATAAGCGATTGTGGCAGTGCGGTCGGCCGTAGGTCACACCGACATCGTCGGAGGGTCCCTCACGTGCTTGTCTGAGCCGAGTCCTGCGGGAAAATGGGTGAAATTGGACTGTGGGATAGGTCCTTGTTTTTTTAGAATTAGGTTATGTCTAGGGACCTATTTGCAATTTTAGTAATTTTTATTTTATTTCAATTTTACACATGGGTTAAATTTGTAATTTATGAAAATAAAAAAAATAAATTATATACATATATATTGTTATGCATATATGTCAAATAATAAATAAAGTATTAAATAAAATTGGTGTAAAATATTAAAATAATTTATAATGATAAATAAATAATGTAATTAAAATAAAAAATAAAAAATATATTTTAATTATTTAAGTTAATTAATATATGATTATATATAAAAAAAAAATACACACAATTTAATTTATAAATTAGTGCATTTTATATAGCGAAATGTAGCACTTTATAAAACAACAAGTTGCACTTTGTAAAACAACATGTTGCACTTTGTCGCCACATTTTCACAATTAATGTAATCGGTTTTCACCAAAATATTATGCAATATAAATCTAAAAAACGAATCAACATAATAATTTAATATTCATCATAGCATTTGTTAAAAGAAAAAAAAACACATGTATGATAACAAACCAAAATTTCAATATTGCAATTTAAATATTAGTAAGTTGCACTTTATACTACGATATATTGCACTTTTTAACGTATCATGTTGCACTTTATAAAACAACACTGACGTGCAATAAATAGAATAATTATGATAAACGATCGAATAATATTAGTGGGTTAAATGTTGGATTTAGTTTTAAATATACAGGATAATCAAACATGTCGAACTATATGAAAAAGTATTACCAATTTTTTTTGTTATACATATATATTATTGAAAAAATAACACTATTTTTTTTATTTATATTGTTTGTGTTCCGATTGCACGTTGTGGCTATACGTATTGCACACAATTGTCTACCGGATTGCACCAAATCGAGATTCAACCAACAGAACATAAATGAAAAAAATCTTAAAATATTAATTAAGAATTGTTAATTAGAAATTGTACCAATGACCTAAATTGAAATATACTAAAAATACTGAAATTGCAAATATGCCCCTCAATGTCATCTAATTTTCAAACACAAATCCCCAAATCAACACTCTGCCATCACCATCTCCAAACACCGGTCAAAATTCATGGTACCGTTGTTGACGTCGCCATAGCCCTGAGCATGTATACCCGTCGCCGTGTCGGAGCCACGACGCCCACTCCCGACCACTGTTATCTCCTCCATGTACCTCGATATTGTCGACCATGTAGGCATGGCCATCGAGCTCTGCCACCACCGTCGCGGTCGTGGTGTTTGTGCGGTGACGCGACTGCTCATGGCGGTGGCTGTTCTGATTCCGGCGATAGCATACTGACGGGGTGGGCCTCCGGCGACGGCAAAGAAAGACGAGTATGGTGTCTGGAGAAGGCTATATCTATGGCAGCATGGTGGTCATCGACTATGGCGGTCGGCGGTGGACGGCGAAAGACGGATGCGAGGTGGAAGATTGTTGACGGTGGCGGAAGGCGGAGGCGTGCCGGAATCGGTGAACATTGGCAGGGCAAGCTTCTGGCGGTGTCAAGCAGAAGAGAGTTCTATGTACCCAAAAAAAAGGAAACGGGAGAGAGAGGAGAGAGAGTTGGCAAAAGTAATGGATGGGTCCCACTGAATTTATTGTAGAATGAATTTACACCATTGCCCTCCAAGCTATTTATTTATCCATTAAATGGCAATGTAATTACATTTTTGCCATGCAAGTTTTACCATTATAATTTAATTTTGACTTTATAATGACCATTGATGTAATTCATCCAATGGTACATGATCATTTTTATTTCTTTCACTATCTATCATTCTCATATGATCCCTTCTATATATATATATATATAACAATTGGGGCAAGCGGGGCGGGGCAATACATATGACCCAAACCCGACCGTTTTTCTAACAAGTTAGACCCGCCCTGGCCCGTTTTACAAACAGGGCAGACCAAGTCCAAACTTTGCCACCCCTAATATGTATTCCGTTCCTCCCTTTGCCATCAGGTTGCTCCAGAAGATGGCGGTTGCTGCCACCAGTCAGCCACCGGACTCGTACAACACAACACGACACATTTCCGGGAAGAATTGGGAAATCAGTTACAGAGGACTAATTGGGAGAAGCTCGAAATGGGAAAATCACTTGGTGTGATGAGTATTACGTGCTAAATTTGTATCATTTAAAAAGAAACCGGTGGACAAAAATGAAATTAAGCACTAGACAACAAGGACATTGAATTTCCACGCACAATAATTATGTAAATAGTTAACAACAAACTCGTAATCTGGCTTTTTATTTGTATTATTATTATTATTATTATACAACAAATTTAGCCACAAGAAGTCAGCCAGACTATAAACACCAGCTCCTTTTTACATAAACATCCGTTTATTTATTTATTTATGTACACTCCAAATCACCACACTGTAATTTCACAAATCTTTCTCTTCCCATTAGTCTCTTCATCATGCATTGACGATCATCCCACCTGCACACACACATTGATCACAGAAACTGTCAATGTCACTCCCTGTATATTAATTCAAAACGTGTTGAGCTTAGGTGGCAGATTCTCACGCTTCGGATGCTGATATGGCGAAAATCTATGTTTCGTGATGTTGATTTTATATCATTTTTGCTATGGAGTTAGGTTTGGTGTTACACATAAATAACTTTACACATATATTCATTAACTCAACACCGGTATTAATACTATTTAAGGCTATATATGTAAACAAATTGTAATAATTGTTTATTAAGAGTAATTTGAAGTTTTAAAATATGAGGAATTTTATTTATTTTGGGTTGGCCTGACTGTCCAATTGCTAGTAACTGAAATAAGTATATGCAAAAAGCCATTGTTAGATTAGAAGCATATAATTACCATTAGGGTGCAGGACTTGGCCCGTGAAGTAGGAAGACGAGTCGTGTGATGCAAGGAAGACGTAAGACGGGGCGATCTCGTGGGGCTGGGCGGCCCGACCCATGGGAGTCTCGGACCCGATCTTTGTGGAGGTCTCTTCTGGCATCGAAGCCACCTGCAGTGGGGTCCACACGGGCCCGGGAGCCACGGCATTCACCCGAATACCTTTGTCAACGAGCTGGAGGGCAAGGCCACGTGTAAAGGCCACGATGGCTCCCTTGGTGGCGCAATAGTCGAGCAGAGTTGGAGACCCACAGTAGGCCACCACGGATGTCGAGTTGATTATGGTGCTTCCTTCTTTCATGTGCTTGAGCGCGTGCCTGAGCGCCATAATATGTGAATTTTGTTTGAGTCTTAAATTTATCAAGATTTCAAAATCTAACACAAGGCCATGCTAAATATGCAAGCACCCAACAAACATAACTTTTTGCAGGAAAATTCAACGGAAAATTGTTGAAATTTCATATTTGAACAAAAAATTCAACGGTAATATTTAAAAATTTCAGTTGATATTTCAATGGTATAGTTTCTTTTGAAATGATTCTACCGAAATATTCCCTTGGAATGAGTTTTTTTACTGAAATTTTAGATGAAATTTGGGGATTTCGATGACCATTTATTTTCATCCCTATTTCAAAATCTAACGTTGAAATCGTCAAAATCAATCAGAAATTCAAATGAAAACTCATTAAAAAAATTGAAATTTCCGTTAGAATCGATTACAAAATTCAATCATAAAGAATAACATTGTTATTGCTGTCGGTATTCCAATGGAATATATTTCCGTCTGAAATTTTTCGTTGGAGTTTCATCATTTGCTTATAATAGATTATTATATGCAGGAATGCATGCTAAATATGCAATTTTGGTGCTAAAAAAAAGCATCATATAATATGCCTATAACAAGCTAGAAACATTTGCATACCTGGTCAAGAAAAAGTGTGAGAAAATATTAGTCCGAAAGATCCTCTCGAGTCTGTTCTCGTCTATATCCTCAACCGTCCTCGTAACATGCTGCTCGGCGGCATTGTTGACTAAGATGTCTATGCGCCCGAAGTTGTTGATGACCTCGTCCACCACCAGCTTGCAGTTCTCGTCGAACCCCACATCGGCCGGGAGGGCAACTGGGTCTTTTGTGTCAGGAGCTTTGAGCTCTTGGATCTTTTTGAGGGTGTCCTTGGCATCTTTTTCTTCGAGGCCAGCCACATAAGTGAAGGCCACGCTGGCACCTTCCATGGCAAAGAGGTAGCACACGGCTCGTCCGATGCCCGAGTCGCCTCCCGTCACCAGAGCCACCTTGCCCTGTAAGTACAACACTTGGTGTGGGTACATGATATAAAAGGATAAAGAAGGAGTAAAAGATATATAATTTACATGGAGCTTGTTGGTGGGCTTGTAATCAGGGTTAAGTGTCTGTGGAATAGGGTCCATCAGGTGCTGTTTTCCGGGCTGCTCCTCCTGCCTTTGTGCCGGAAACTTCTGCTCCTCTGCAGCCATCTCCCTTGTTATTGTATCTGCTTAAATTTTTAATATCAAACCACTGAGAAAACAC